CCATGCAGCCTTTCGCTCTCGTTTTATGACAGCTACCTTTTATGGTTATTAATAGAACATTAGAATCACATAAGTCTTGCCCACTCCTGACAGCAAAATGGATATATTTGCATGACTTTCTAAGATTTACAAATGGAGAATATCAGTTCCTCTTCAGGAACTCGAGCTGCATCGGAGGACGCTTTGGGAACGTCCTTCAGCGTAACCGACTCTGAACCCCGTGTGTAATCAGTCCAATAGATGGGCGAGACGTCACGGGCGGGTGACGTAATGACCAGGAAGCTATAAAAGCACATGTGGTGGAACCGGCATCAGCTTTCTGTCATTCAGCAAGCGCTCTGTGTGTGTGTGTGTCAGTCTGATATTCATTTGTGAGGCTGAGCAGCAGAAGAGTAAATTAGAAAATCCAGCAGTGTTTGCCATAATATCAAAGTAAGTGTGCATCATTGATCATTGTTTTCACAAAAAATATTTTCTCATAACATGTGATCTGCAGTTTAATTTAAAGATGAATTATTTTGCGACTGACGCTACAAAACAGAGTTTTCTAGCTGCTATGTTTTAATGTAACATTAATTATTAAATAGGCTATGTCTAAATTCATATAATTTTGGTTTAACTTCTGTGTAATGACTTTATGTAATTTCACCATTAATGAGAGTGGAATATTTAATGTAAATGTGTATATCTACATGAAAACAGAGTTTAAAATAATTGTTTACTTCATTACTTTTCTCTCTCCAAGAAAAAAAAGTCCGTACGCATGGGTCAGAGTTTGCGTGCAGGTGCACACATTTTCCTGTCTAGGTTGTTTTTATAAATCCCACCTTTTGCGTAGGAAGTGGCGTACGCCTCTTTCAGGGAATGTTTTGTGCGTACGCAACGGTTATAAATGAGGTCCCTGGTCTGGGTCAGGCTAACTGTCAGGCTAAGCTGAGTTTCTTTAACACTGACCAATAGGAATGCAGTGGTATTACCACTGAAACTCTCAAATACAATTATTTGACTTTATTAATCACCATCAGTCCAAAAATAATAGAACAAAGAAAATGCAACTTCAATAATAAATCAATTCAATAAAAATATAGGCTACAGTTGACTGTATTTAATGTATTGTGCCTAAGATTTAATGACATTGTTTTAAGATATATGAAAACATTTTAACATGGTTGCTACTTTCGCATTCAGTTGATCAGCAGTTTTTAGCCATGCAGCCTTTCGCTCTCGTTTTATGACAGCTACCTTTTATGGTTATTAATAGAACATTAGAATCACATAAGTCCTGCCCACTCCTGACAGCAAAATGGATATATTTGCATGACTTTCTAAGATTTACAAATGGAGAATATCAGTTCCTCTTCAGGAACTCGAGCTGCATCGGAGGACGCTTTGGGAACGTCCTTCAGCGTAACCGACTCTGAACCCCGTGTGTAATCAGTCCAATAGATGGGCGAGACGTCACGGGCGGGTGACGTAATGACCAGGAAGCTATAAAAGCACATGTGGTGGAACCGGCATCAGCTTTCTGTCATTCAGCAAGCGCTCTGTGTGTGTGTGTGTCAGTCTGATATTCATTTGTGAGGCTGAGCAGCAGAAGAGTAAATTAGATGAGCGTTTTCTGCGTGTTAAGCCGCCACCTCCGCGCCGGAGCCTGCCTTTTTTCCCTGACCTCCACACCGAGGTGTCAAGGTTGTGGGGAAGACCTTTCTCGGCCCGCCTCTTTATCCCCGCTTCTGATTACTATGACAATGTGGCGGGGATGAGTGAGCGCGGTTATAAGACGATGCCCCGGGTAGAACAGACGCTCGCGAGCTATCTGTCTCCCGACGCGGTGTCGTCTTTAAAGGCTCCGGCATTGCCTTCAAAGCCGCTACTTACAACATCAGCGCTGGTGAGAAAGGGGTACTCAGCAGCGGGTCAGGCTGGTGCGTGTCTACACACCATGGCGGTGTTAAAGGCGTTCCAAGCCGACCTGCTCAAAGAGCTAGATGAGGGTGAGCAGGTAAAATCCGAGGATATTACCGAGCTCAGGAGAACCGCTGATTTGTCTCTCCGCGCCACTAAAGAGACCGCCCGTGCCATCGGCAGGTCTATGGTAGCTTTGGTGGCGGCAGAGAGGCATTTATGGCTGACCTTATCTGATATGAAGGAAAGAGATAAGGTCTGCCTCATGGACGCCCCGCTTGCGCCTTCTGGCCTGTTCGGCGACGCCATCACTTCCGTCATTGACAGGTACCAGGAGGCTTGTAAACAGGAGGCGGCATTCCAGCGGTTCCTTCCTCGCCGCTCGCTAGCTCTGGGGGCTGCTGGGTGGGAGCAGCCCCCTCCGAGTACCAGCTCCTCATACAGGGAGGCACAAAAGCAGAGCGTTGCCTCACGTGCTCCCCCACGTCGGGACCATGAGTGAAAGCGACGCTCTGAGTCGGGGGCCTCGAAGTCTAAGCCGGATCTGTGGACCGTACTTAAGACTAAGATGTCCTCAGCCAAGAAGTCCTGATGCCACCGGCCCAGGACTCATGAGGGCAGACCCCTCTGGGGTGGAGCGGGTTTCACCGCATTACACTGTGTCCGTCTCGCCTCAGTTCCCTCAGGAGATCGGTCTGCTAACCCTGCCATAGTTACAGGGCACAGCGGTCTCCTGCGAGCACCACTCTCAGTCACCGCCCGGGAACGTAGCGGTGCTAAGAGGCTTGCCACCTCCGTGGAGGTCTCTAGAGCAGCTGGTTCGGTTGTCCCCTGCCGGTCCGCCGTTACAGGGCACCGAGCTAGCTGCTCTCATTACACCAGAGGTCAGTCTCGAGAGACTGATTCCCTTAGTA